GTTAAGTTAGGAAAATTAACTAAGCTTTTTCTAAAAACCATAAAGTCTTTGGAAGGAGCAGCTGGGCCATTAACTTGATTACTACTGTTTATCAAGTCTTCTTAGCCCTGGCCGGGAGAGCTACTCAAGGAGGGAACGGAGGCAGCCTTGTATGGGCGGACCGTCTCCCCACCCCCCACCCCGCTCCATGATGTAAATGTCTCTCATATGCAGCTGGCCAGTCTTTTTGCCTTTTCTGCATGGCTGTCTTGACCATGACCATTGCCTGGGGTCTCTGAGAAGCTGATGACCAAATCCCATGAATGGTCATCCTGCCCCTGTTACCTGAGTCTGGCCACAGGCTGGTCATCTTATCTTGCCTATCTCTAGTCCTGCTTCTTTCCCTGGACTGAGTTCTTCCCAGAGCTGTGTTCTCCATCTCTCATGCAATAAGTGGTCTGAGGCCACTACATTTTTCTCTTGTGTGTGCCCTTCTCCCACAAAATGTTATCCATAAAAGCAATTCAATAGTTCCCAACTGAACTCTCAAACCTCCAGTCAACTTTCCCACTTGGATTTCCTGCAGGTCACCTCGAGTTTAACCTGTCTGCCTCCACAGGCATTTTCTTCCTTCCTGCTTCACCTGTGGGGTTCTTCCTCCAAGTTACATCCACTGCTGGCATTACTGGCCACCAGGCACTCCAGGCTAGCACTCGGCAGCCCTTCTCCATGCCCCTTTCTTCAAAATGCTTACCTTTGATCAATCTTTGATTTCTGTGCATTCCCAGTCCTGCTTCAAGATGTTTACCCCATAGAACTGTATTCACCAAAAAGCAAGAATATTCATCCTGGCTCCAACTGTGTTGGACCCAAAGTGTAAACTACCCAGACGCCTATACAAAAGTCAGCTGTGGTCTGTCCATACAGTGACATCCAGTACAGCAGCTGAATGAGTGACTTGCTGCTCCACGCAGCCACAAAGCAGGTGGGGGGCACACACGGTTGATCGAAGGATGCAGATGCAGGTGGGGAAACCCCAAGTGGGCAAAGTGAGTCTGTGCTGTCGGGTGTTTGCGTGGCGGTCACCTTTGGGGACAAGTGAGGGTCTGGTATTGGGGAGGGGCCCTGCGGGGGTGTCTTTGGTGCTAGTTGTAAATGTGCTGTGTTGTGCTCTGGGGGCGTTTGTGTTGAGAAAATTCACAGAACTTCATGAACACTTAGGGCCTGTGTGCTTTACTGCGTGCATGCTATTTTTAAAAATTGTTGACTAAGACTAGCAGGGAATTACACAAAGATCAATATATTGAATCCAGTAGACTAATGGAGCCCTACTAGATGTCAGGCTGTGCAGGACAGTGGAGGTTCAGGATCGAGACAGTTACTGCCCCTGGCACGAGAGCTGGTCAGGGGGTCAGCTTGTGCTTGTACATTATCCACGTCTGAAGAAAGCAGCTTTCACAGTGGATGGCTACCTGGACACCCCCACTATTACTTGGACATGTTTCTTGCCAGTCCATTTCCAGCTGTGTATATAATTGGGCAGGTTTTGTGGGTGGCTCAGATGGTAAAGAATCTGCCTGCAATGCAGGAGACCCTGGTTGGATCCCTGGGTCAGGAAGATCCCCTGGAGGAGGAAATGGCAACCCACTCCAGTATTCTTGCCTGGAGAATCCCATGGACAGAGGAGTCTGGGGGCCTCCAGTCCATGGGGTCACAAGGAGTTGGACATGACTGAGTGACTAAAGCTATACTATATATAGTTGGGCTTGGTTGTTTTGCTCAGAACTGCCTTGGTTGCAAAGGACAGCCATCTGACTCTAATTAATTTACAAGGGTCCTGTTGGAAGGATCTTCATGGGCTCACAAATTAGAAGGACTGAAACCCTGAACTTCAGGAAGCGTGGGGACCACCAGGCCAGGGGATTGAACCTGGAAGGCGTCCCCCTCAGTTCTGAGCTCTGTCCTCCCCGTCCAGAATCTTCTTTCTCACAAACCAGCATTCTCTGTGGGGCAGTGTTGATGAGTGTCTGCCCAGGACATTGCATCCTTAGAGTTCAAGGCAGAGAAAACAAACGGGACTCTTTCCCACCAGGTACCAGTAAATAAAGAAATCCTGTGTTTGGCTCAGTGAAGGGCTGTTCTCTCCCATCCCCCAACTCTGGAGAAGGGGGTCATGGAACAAGATGGTGGCTCCCTTGGGAGCATGTGGCTTGAATGGAAGAGCCATGATGAGGCTCTCCAAGAGAAAGAGATGGTGTGGATGTGGCACCTTCTGGTGACATCACAGCGAGCTGTGTCCCAGCACGAAATGATCCTCTAGGGAGCAGGAGAAATACTGTATCTTCTATATTTTTTCTCGTGTGTATAAGCATGTCTACACATCCTATCCCTTCTTCAGTGGATCTTCCTGACCCAGGGATCAAACCAGGGTCTCCTGCATTGCAGGCGGATTCTTTACCATCCGAGCTATGAGGGAAGCCCCATAAGGATGCATGGTATCTGTTTATCTTTGTGTATTATTATGTATTGACGATGCATATTGTATTGGTGTGCTTATGTATTGACGATGTATTGGTGTGCTTGGTCGCTCAGTTGTGTCTGACTTTTTGTGACCCCATGGACTGTAGGCCGCCAGGCTCCTCTGTCCATGGGATTCTCCAGGCAAGAATACTGGAGTGGGTTGCCATGCCCTCCTCCAGGGGATCTTCTCGATCCAGGGATCAAACCCAGGTCTCCCACATTGCAGATGGGTTCTTTAGAGCACCAGGGAGGCCCATAGTGTGTGTATATCAGGGTGTGCATACCCCTAATTTTTAGTGTGTTAAATATAGTTCTATTCTGAATACTTCCACTTAGGTACCCTGTAAATGTTTGCTGCCCTCTGCAAGTCAGCAACATGAGCTGCATTTGGTTATCATAATCCACTTGTGCAGAGGACACTAATTTAGTGAGGGGCACACTTGTATGTTTTGTGTGACTGTAAATGGGAGGAGAAACCCCAGATGCTAAGAGGAGGCACCCCAGATGCTGAGAGGAGGCACCCCAAATGCTGAGAGGAAGCACCCCAGGTGCTGAGAGAAGGAACCCCAGATGCTGAGATGAGGCACCCCAGATGCTGAGAGGAGGAACCCCAAATGCTGAGAGGAGGCAAGACATTCCTAAGTGATGCTTGGGGATCACTGAATGTGATCTGACCTGAATGTGGGGCAGAGGTCTTGGCTGACATGGCAGAGGGTCGAGAGAGGAGACACCCAGCTGAGGGGCCTCCTTTTCTTCTACCCTTTATTGACACCCACCAGCTCAGAATTTCCCCTCCCAGGGCCAATTTTGGGGTAATTATTTCAGGCTTTTATCAAAGGACAGTATAATTAATTGGCTTTGGGGACCATCATGAGGCTGGCTACTGTCAGGATGGTTTTTCCATAATCCACTTTCTTTGGATTTATCTTTTGGTCTCAGGGATTTGGATCCTTTTAATCTTTTGAAGGTGAAAGTTGTATGTTCACGTGTGTGAGCTCTCTGAGTCAGTGGTGTTTTGGAATACAAGGGGCTGTGGGAGGAAAAAAAACTGGATTCCTAGGTTCTGGGTTTCCTTAGGTAGCTTTTCTCAATGGACTCAGGGACATATCAACTCTGGACATTTATTTTAACTCAAGTCTTGGGTCATCAACTACAGTGATTTAACAACAGAGTGTGAAGACACAATTTTCTCCCTAAAAGTACAATTTTCTCCCTAACAATTTCTCCCTCCCTAACAGTTTAGTGGTGACTGTTAAACTGTCTTGATCCCTGAGGTTGATATTGTGTAGATTTCACACTGTGGAGTGGTTTCTATATAAAATGGAAAGCTTGAGAAGATAAGATTTGGGATTTTGTTTGAACTTTGAATTAGTCACTGCTCTTCTTTTAAGAAATGACTATTCTGACTTTGATAAATCACCAGATTCTGTGGGTTTCAGGAAGACTAGAATAATGTCATGGTTCATGCCTCTCATTATCTTAAAATAATTGATGAAAGAAATTCTCTTACAAAGTCATCCCAAGGATCCTAAAGAAGTTTAGTTGGACAATTTATTCATTTATCTTTTTAAAAAAGAAGTCTTATAACCCTGGTATCTTAACTGTCTTAGCAGTTAAAATATGTTTTGTTTTGCACATTAAAAAAGTGTATACACCTGCTGCAGCAAACTGTATTTGTGATTGTATGTCTATGTTTTCTTCCTTCATTGCCTGTGATTTTAGTGATTGTACCTGTGTTAATATCATGCTTATTCAAACATTTCTTTTCCATTTGATCTATTGTAATTTTTTTCAGATAATGCTATCATAACTGAACTATGTAAATACTTGCATGCACATTTTATTTCTTTTATGGTTATTGTTTCTCTCAAAGCTCATTTGAGAGGCTCTGTAACTACGACAAATGCAGTTATTTTCCATTTGCCTGGCTCTGTCCTAAATGCTGCCTCCTGTGATCTTCCCTATGAGAAAAGGCCAGTGTTAACTCTGGAGGAAGGGGCACACACAGTGGTCAAGTAACTTGGCTAAGATCTCAATAGGCACAGCTGATACTTGGACTCAGGCCACCTGGCTCCTGGGAGTATAAAGGTTAAGAGTGTGGGTTTCAGACTTCAGCTACTCACCTAACTTGTGACCTTGGATAAGTTACCTGGCCTCCTTGAGCCTCAGTTTCCTCATCTGTAAAATGGGGCTAAGTCCTGCCTCCATGTTCTATCATGAGATGGCCAAGAGTGCTCAGTGTGAGACCCATCACAGAGCACATGATGGGCAAACATATTATTGTACTTCTGGGTTCTTCAGCTGTCTTCATTTGAAAACTGGGGGTCCACACCCCCATTCTCAGCTTGGCCTGGCCTGGAACAGGCAGTCATCACCGGGGGTTGCCGGTTACAGGCAGGTCTCTATTAAGCATAGGCATGATGCTTGGACTCTGAGCTGGAGAGTGAAACCTAGTCACTAATGAGCTCTTGGTGCCCATGTGTGTTTCCTTCCCTTCCCAGTGGAACATGACAAAGAGTTCTTCCACCCACGCTACCACCACCGGGAGTTCCGGTTTGATCTCTCCAAGATCCCAGAAGGGGAGGCCGTGACTGCAGCTGAGTTCCGCATTTACAAGGACTACATCCGGGAACACTTCCACAATGAGACATTCCGGATCAGTGTCTACCAGGTGTTGCAAGAGCACTTGGGCAGGTGGGTACCATCCCGGGGCCTGGGCGGGGTCCTGAGCTCCTCCTGAGAGGAGGCACGGGCTGTCGTGGCTGCTTCCCATGTTATTCTTGCTGTTGTTCAGTCGCTCAATTGTGTCCGACTCTTTGCGACTCCATGGCCTGCAGCACATCAGGCTTCTCTGTCCTTTACTATCTCCTGGAGATTGCTCAAACTTATATCCGTTAAGTTGGTGATGCCATCCAACCATCTTGTCCTCTCTTGCCCCCTTCTCCTCCTGCCCTTGATCTCTCCCAGCATCAAGGTCTTTTCTAATGAGTCGACTCTTCACATCAGGTGGCCAAAGTATTAGAGTTTCAGCATCAGTTCTTCCAATGAATATTCAGGATTGATTTCCTTTAGGATTGACTGGGGGAGCACCAACCACATGCCAGGCTATGTATCTTTTTTAGAGAAAGTGTATGGTGTAGGTTGGGCATCCCTGGTAGCTCAGTGGTAAAGAATCCACCTGCCAATGCAGGAGACGTGGGTTCAGTCTGTGGGTCAGGAAGATCCCCTGGAGAAGGAAATGGCAACCCACTCCAGTGTTCTTGCCTGGGAAATCCCATGGACAGAGGAGCCTGGCGGGCTACAGTCTATGGGATTACAAAGAATCGGACACGACTTAGTGATTAAACAGCAACAATGGTGTATGTCACCATTTCTTAAAACTATCACCATCAGCAGGTTGCATTAGGAATAGGGACAGCCAGGGGAGCCTGGGGTTGTGTGGCCCCCTACAGATATTTATAGATCATCTGGGTCAGTGTGTCTTTAGGGGGATGAAGAAGAGGAAGAAGCATTTTTGACAGTCTGCCTATCTCCCACGCATCACTGAAACCCAACACGTGATATAAGGCCACCAATGAAAGTGGCTGTTTGTAATGAAATGTTTAGGGGATAAAAATCCACAAATGAAAAATAAACAGGCAGAGAACTCTTAGCCTTCCAAGAATCTTGAGGTCAGGAACCGGAAGCTTCTGTTGAAAGACTTTAATTTCTTGAGACCTTTTAGTTTTGTTTCAAAGTCCTCCAAGGGGTGAGAAGGCTAAGAGAATGAGCTGGAACATTCCCCTAACAGGGACATTCTGAAGTCCGGAGGTGGACCCGACCTAGGTCGTGCTACCCGGTGGCTGAGTGTTTGGACATCTTGGGATGTCAGACCTCTCCCTCCCTACCATTCATCATAACTAATGGAAGGAAGACAGTGTGGGTGTCTCCCTTCTGCTGGACTGCCCTGGCCTCTTCAGTGGGAAAGGGAACCTGTTAGCACATTTGACTTGGCAAGCACTCTCACTTGGGGGGTCATCTTAAATACTAGAAAACCAAGTTTTTCTTGAGTGTTTCCAGTGTTTTGCCTTAGTTAACTGTCTCTGACCCCAGTTTCTTGAGTTCTTTCAAATCAGCAAGTATATTTGTGCATTTAAATATTTTTACAAATGGTGTCTCATCATGCAGTGTCTCCTGCACCTACATCTATCACTAAACCTTGATGATCTTGACAGTGAAACTTGTCAATCCTTTCACATCACTACCCAGGGGTACCCTTGTTCTTATCATCACCATGCATCTCTCATCATGCAGGTTGTGCTAGAAGGTATTTAGCCAATTGCCTGTATGCACATGCTGAGCTCTCAATTTTTATGAATTATAAACAGCATGGCCTATGTGGCCGACACTTGCCTATCAGTCAGATACAGTTCAAGAAACAGAATTGTGGGGTCGAGGGCCCACATGTCAGTAACTCTGATAGATTTGGCTGAACTGTTTTCTTTGGAGGTTATGTCAGTTTATACTCCGCCAGCCACACAGAGAAAGCCTGTGGCCCTATGGACTCCCGAACATGGTCTTATCAAACCGTTCTGATCTTTGTCAGTCTGTCTGATGGGTGACAAATGGCATCTCAGTGTGGACTGTATCTGCATTTTATCCCCATTTGTCTGCACTTTCCTGTACTGCCTCCCTGCTGGAGAGGATGACAGACCCTTTCAGCAGGGAGGGAATGTGGGTGTGGTTCCAGGCAGGCCGCAACAGCCTTGGCAGTCACCTCCAAACCTTGCTGAAGGCCCTCAGAGGCCCCAGTTAACCCTGGCAGGCCGGACCCCGGCTCCCAGACCCAATTACAACAAGAAGCATTGAGTTCATTCCCCAAGGGTGACATGTGTTTGCTCTGTACTCTCACAAAGCCTCTGGGGCTCTTGAACAAGAGCATATGTTTGCCTTTTTTTTTTTTTTCCTTAGTGAAGGCTGATGTACTGGGGCAAGGCAGGTACCCAGAGGCTATTGGTTAATGGAACTCTATCAGTCCATTTGTGTAAACCTCGAGCCCAGCTCATGCTCTGGGCTTTCTGGCAGGCTCTCCAAACCTGCCTCAGAAACCTCCATCAAGAGGTTTAACCTCAGGAATGTGGCTGCCCCAACTGGGTTTGGCTGAGCAGGACTGAAAGGGTTGATTGGTGTCGCCTGGGTGGCTCTTCCTCCAAGATCTACAGGCAGGAATGTGCTCCCCCTCCCTGGCCGGGTCGTTGGGGTCAGCTGGGATGCTGCTGATGTGGGTGGAGCTTGTTTCAGGACTGGAGCGTCCTCAGGCACTGCCCCTGACATGAGGAGCACCCCAACTAGCACCCCAAGCACCTGTGGTGCTTGCTCCCTCCGATCCACGTGCTGGGAAGAGCAACAGAGACTCAGTGATGGTGAGACGGGGAGGGTGGGCACGAGCTTCCCCCGCAGGACACAGAGGCCACTGCATTTGGAGAGATCCATGGGAGCCCAGCCACTTGCTTATTCAACCATCGCTATTAAACCATTGGGATAAACCAGCCCAGCTCATGGGGGCAGGGACCTACCTTGTCTCAAAGCTGGGCAACTTTTTATTTTTGATTTTTTTTTTTTAATGTGGATGGTGGTTTTTTTTTTTAAGTCTTTATTGAACTTGTTACAATATTGCTTCTGTTTTATGTTTTGTTTTGTTTGGGCCATGAGTCATGTGGGATCTTAAGTCCCAGAGCAGGGACTGAACTGTCACCCTCTGCATTGGAAGGCAAAGTCTTACCCACTGGACCACCAGGGAAGTCCCCTTTGGGCATTTTTAAATGCCCTCACAAAGCGCCACACATGGGGTGGCTGGGAACAATAGAAATGTGCTCTCTCACAGAGCTGGGGGCTGGAAGTCTGAACTCCGGGTGGCAGCAGGGCCGTGCTCCCTCTAACATCTGCAGGAACGGATCCTTCCTTCCTCTTCCAGCTTCTGGAAGAGGCTGGCCGTTGACTGCATCCCTGGCTCTCAGCCGCGCTGCTCTGGTCTTGTTGTCACATGGCTCTGCGTGCCCTCTGTGTGCCTCTCCCTCTCTGATAAAGAGACCAGTCATCTTGGCTGAGGGGCTGCCCTGCTCCAGCATGGCTTCATTTCTTACCTAATTACATTCATAAAGACCCTAATTCCAAAGAAGGTCCCAATCAGAGGTCCCGCGGTAGGATTGGTGTGTATGTTTGTAGGAGATACAGTTCCATCCGTAATGGGGTGAAGAAGATGGGCAGTCAACAAGTTAGCAAATAAGTAGACCCACTGGCCTGATAAGGCGATTGGTGTTCCTAGACGGCTTGTTGAGCTGGGGATATTTGAATGACTAGAAGGATCTGAAATGGGGTGAGAAAAGGGTGTCTCAGGGAACTGTAGGGGCCACCGTCCTGAGGTGGAGACAAGCAAGCGTGGGTTGTTGGAAGGACAGAAGGGAGGCAATGATGCCAGGGTGGGGCGGGCCACCAGGTCCTCGCTTAGATGAAACACAAGCCTTTGGCTTCCACAGTGGTTGCTGGAAGCTCTTCGTCTTTCTGCCTATGTCAACCTGCTGTCTTCATGGGCACCTGGTTCTGTCGTAGTTTGAAGTGGTCACCTCCTCACCCCTGCCTGAGATCTGTGGGGTGAATCCGGAGGCCCAGGAAAGAGAGAAGGCCTGAGTTCCTGTGGTTGGAAAAGGAATGGGCAGGACAGCTGTCAGTGACTCTGTGGCCAGCGTGGCAGGTCATCTTGATGAGCAGCTTAGCCATAGGCCATCTCTGGGGATGCTCAGCCCAGCACTGGGTTCCTGCCTCAGAGGCCTTTGGGCTTTGCTGGGAGATCGAGCCCCCTATCAGCAAGTGTTTGAGCACCTGCTATGTGTTGGGCAGTGGTGGATGTGACTGGACCCCAGTCCCAGCCCCTCAAGGAGGTGACATTCAAACAGAGGAGGGAACATAGGATGATGCAGCGGGTACAAAATATAATGTAGAGCAGGGAGTGGACAGAGGCAGCCAGTGGGCAGGAGGGGCTGCTTGCTGTGGACTTCCAAACTTCTTATCCATAGTACTTGAAAGAAAAAAGCAAGGCCCTCATTCTCCAAAAGATAAAATGTTAAAAATTGTTTTCCAAAAAATTATTGATTTTTTTTCTGGGTGGGTTTTGTTTTTGAATCCAGAATCAAAACAATTTTATGACCTAATTCCCCAGGTGGGAAAGCACAGCTCTTTAAAGTGTAGATTTGGGACTTCCCTGGCAGTCCAGTGGTTAAGACTGTGCTTCCACTGCAGGCAGCATGGGTTCCAGCCCTGATTGGGGAACTAAGATCTTGCATGCTGCAAGGCATGGCCAAACAAACAAACAAACAAAAAATAACAACCAGAGTATAGATTCGAATCCTGACACTCTGTATCAGCGTGGCCTTGGGAAGTAGTAACCCCTCAGAGGCTCAGCTTCCTCCTCTGTACAATGGGGATAATAACTGAACCTACCTCCCAGGGTTGTGGTGAGGATAAAGGGAGCTGACAAATTTACTCTGAACATAGTAAGTGCTCAGTGAAGGTTTAACAGATATTAGAAGCATCACCATCACAGTCACCATCCTCACCACCATCACCACTACCACCCTCACCACCTTCATCACTACCGCCCTTACCACCATCACCATCCTCACCACCCTCATCATTTTCACCATCATCACCACTACCAT